TGTGAAAAAAAAAAAAAAAAGAAAAAAAAATGTTTCGAGAACGAACCTTTGGCCAGGTTGCCAGGTTCTTAGGAAGAGCAGAAAAAAATTTAATCGATTGTTGAAATGATTGCGAAATGTTATTCGCGCGTGCCACACGAAGAGCGTAGGAGAATATATATTATTATATTATATTATATTATATTATATGTATTCAGGGATCTTTATTATCTAGTTATTATTGTTACGAGATCTGTGCATAGATCTTGCGCATAATATCGCTTTTTTCGAAGCGAAGAATCGTAAAATATCGTATAGGAGCTACTACTCACATAAAAAGGTTCATTTTTAAAGGAGGGAAAACCGTTTATCACAAATTAATGGAGTTTTTTTTTTTTGTCGATTACACGCAACAAAAGGCAAGGTTTCCATCGATTTTTGAATCAGCTTTTTGTTATTTCGAAGATTACTCGATATTAACGATAACAATCGTTGAAGAAAGAAATTGTTTTATTCAAAGTTATAAATAAATGTTAGATTTCGTTAAGCGGATCGAGTCGCTCGAAACCTTGCGATCTTAAAAATGCGTTGTAATCATGTGACGTTTCAGAGTGCAATAATATCAGGACATGCGATTACATTTTTCTTTTGGTCAATTGATCGCGACGTCCTTTTAAGTTTCCTTTATTTGTATATTTCGTCTTCGTTCTTCTAACGTTTGAATCCTTGTTTAAAACCTCCTGCATTTAAATACACGATGCAAATAGTTGATAGACGCTTACGTATTGCGTGTCCTTTCTCCATTAGTTTTTCTCGATTACCCACGACGGTTCATTCCTCATTATGAAAAACAGATAATGCAACGAATGCGAATGAGGAAAAAGAAAGAAGAAAATCGCTGTTAAGCCACGGCGAATTTTTGTTCCATATATCTTTTCGGTCTTTTTTGTTTCATTTTCTTTCTTTTTTTTCAATAATATGATNTTTTTTTTTTTTTTTTTTTTTTTTTTTTTTTTTTTTTTTTTTTTTTTTTTTTTTTTATTGCATTTTTTTTCCACCTACGAATTGCAATAAAAGAAATCATGTTATTTGCTACACTGCCTTTCAGGTTGTAAATTTTGGAAGAAAATCAAATGTTAATTTATTAGTAAATGATGTTGAATCGAATATCATTCTGAAATGTGTTAGAAATGATTTGTCGAAACATTTGTTTTAGTTTATGCGAATATTTATCAGGGAACCAATAATCAATATTTCGATGGCGTTTGTCACCTGTTGATAGTATCAGTTTTTTTTTTTTTTTTTTTTCAGAAAAACTTGTTCAATATCAATATTTAGTTATCAGACGATAATACTATTTGTACCGTCCATAATAGAAGATGTTACAATCGTATACTATAGAAACGATTAGGCTTGATAGTTTAAACATTTCAAATTTATTCCTGTCAAATCTGTCGACATTTTTTTGTTTAATTATTATAGCCGTTGGATATTTTGGGAACTGTATTTGAAACTGTCTTGATTGTTTAACTCAACTCCATATATATATATATTTTTACATTTTAATAGAAAATGTAAAATTTTCACGTGCTATCATTTTGTGATCTACTTTTTTTATCCGTTTTTGCAGAGAGAGAGAGAGGGAGGGGGGGGGGGGGGGGAGGAAGGAAGGGACAAAGACAAAGATGTAAAATTTTCTTTGTGAAGTTTTTGAGTGAAAGTTTCGGATGAATTTCAAATAGGCCTAAAAATATCTTGGCACATACATTAATCTTTTAATTTTCAAGATTTTATTATAACGTACACACGAATACGATGATCGAAAATACCACATTGGATATAAATCCTTCGCCATCAAATTTAAATCTTAATCAACGATTTAATTCATTCTTTGGTATGCGTGCCACGAGATCGAGAAAGAAGCCGCTAGAAAATATTTTTACGAATTAGACTTAGACGTTGGATGTTGGATTTTACAAGCATTTTTCTTTGTAACATGTTCATCGATTCGCCGTGGCGATAGAATCATAGTCTCAGGGTTTTAACCAACAACCAACAAATAAACAAATGATACAAATTTAGATACAATATAAATAAATAAGCGCGCGTGTATATTTGTGGAGCAAAACATTATAATAATAATAATTACGATAGTAATAATAATAATGAGGATGATAATGATGATAATAATGATGATAAAGGATATTAACATTAGTATTAATGATGATAACAATGATGATGATAATAATAATAAAAAAAAAACAAGAAACACAATACCGTGGTTTCTTGTATTCCGTAACTCGAAATTTACGCATTTGTTTTGCAATACTGGATGTATATCCAGTATGCGAAAGAAATATAATTCTAACGTCACTTTTTTCTTTTATGATCTTTCTCCCTGTAGGTAGGAAGAAGATTTGTACATATACATAGTTTATTCGCATCGTGAAAATTTACATCGATAAATTCAACCACATCCTGTATTTTTTTTTGGCACGGTATATATACGATTGCACAATTTGAAAAAAGCTTCCGCTTTTCCAGCGAAACGTGCGTGCGCCAACAAAGATGAACAAATGGATCGTGGATTTGAAATGTTTCATATATCATAGCGTGCACTGTTTACGATTTGTTTCTTCTTCGAAAGTACAATATAAAGTGGTTCTTCGAAAACTCCTTCTTTTCTCGTTCGTTCGCCGGACTCACCAGACCAGTCGTAAATTGTACCTGCTGCGAAGAAACGTTGCTTCTGCGACTTCTCTATATGTGTACAGAATATGTGTACAGATACATGTAATTATAATTTTTATATAAAAAGAAAGGATACGTATGTGTGCGTGAGCATTAGGTAATAAGTCGATCGAAAATAAAATAGGAATTAAGCTCGATATTTTTATTCTTCAAATCTTGAATGTTGAACGAGCTCCTCTTCGAAAATTCGCGTTAAATATTTACCTAATATAAAATATGCCGATTATAACGAAATAGAATACTATACCTGGCCTCAATGGCCTCAGTTGGCTCAGCAATCATGTTGCGAGAAGAAGCTTCACGTTTGCTTCTTTATTTGTTAATCGTCTTTCTTGTTACTTTTTCCAGTAAGTATATATATATATATATATATTTTTTTTTTTAATATATACGTACTTACATACATAAGTAAATACATAAGTAACATTTGTACTTTAAATAATAAGTAATGTTGATGTAAAGCAAAATTGAAAAAGGCCATTCCCTCGCAGAAAGTTCGTATGTACTGCGAGACAATTGTTTGGAATTCGATGTGGTTGAGCTCGAGGATTACTTGTCTCGGAATATTGAGAATGTACCGACGATCGATATGATGATCGGCGGTTTCAAATGTCCCGTCACAGCTTTGCCCTTTGGTGCTTTGAAATCGGACTGGGCAAGATTACTGCTTCTGCAGGGAGCGCAACCAAAGGATTCAATTCTCTCGAAGAAACTAGGTCGTCTTTTCAGAATCTTAGTGATCGCTTATTTCCAAATAGAGGAACGTTTCGATATTATTCAATCTGGAATTTTGAGCAGGTTGGTAATAATAATAATAATAATAAAACGTAATTTTAAAGTTTGGTAAAGTTTTTTTTTTACTTGTTTATTGTTATTATTTTTTTTTTTATTTACTTTATCAAATCCGTATATTTCGATAATCTAATCGCATCTTTTGTAATTCGAAAGCGTAAGTAACACTGATACGAGGAAAGAAATGAAGAGATTCAACAACTCGATAATCGATTTAGCAGAAATAAATAAAAATTTTACTTTTTTTGACAATAAAAAATCCATTGGCACAATTAAAATCGAACGAACCACGAGGCTGGATAAAACGAGAGAAAATAAAAATGACGATTTTAATACGACACGTAGTAATAATTCTTCGACAACCGTCGAATTTTTATCTATCGATGATCGGATGGTATTTCGCTCGACAACCGAACGATATGAGGAAAAGAAGATGGTAAATATTACCGGTTTTTCAGATATAAATACCGAGAAAAAAAATTACACAGAAATATCGAAAACGAACGAATCCGTCGCAATTGAAATCCCGAATAATTTTACGAAAGGTCAAGGTGATAAAAATATTTATAAAAAAAAAGAGGGATTGAATAAAAATAAAGATGACACTGTTATCGGTAAGAATATTAATTTTTCAATGAATTAGAATTTAACATAATATTTAACAGCCAATAACAATCGATTTAATCCAATTTCTAATTTCTACAGCTACTGACATTTCGGGAATATCGATTTCTAATTCAAATAAAAAATCAATAGTGAAAAATATGACGGAAGAAGGGACGACGAGATCAGTTTTCACCGCTAAAATTAGCACGATGAAATCTGATGGTATGGAAGAACGCGATTCTAAAAAAATGAGCGATAGAAGCGATTTTCCTATATCGTACGATTATGTCACAAATTTAGAGAGAATTGAAAATGTAAATAGTCTGGAGATTTTTGATGCAAAAACTACCAGCGAGCCAAGTCGCGTTTATTCGAATAAAATCTCTACTAACTCGAGCGAAAGTTTTAATCAAACTCCTTCGAATCGTCAAACAAACGACGTCTTCCAAGTCTTCGAAAAGATTCCATGGAATTTCTCGAATAAGCTAGAGAAAGCTCCGATCTACAAAAAACTTAGAAAACCTTCGTTGGATAACGACTTTTGGAAATACATCGTAATTTCACGAAATGTTAGTTTAACTACTCCTGTTGTAGAACCGAAGATGATATCGGTGATTGAAAATGCAGATAAATCTAAAGGAAGTTGGACGAAATCTAAAAAACGCGGAAGCTTGAATATTGAAAAAAATCTTAGATGGTTTTATAATTTTGGGCACGAAGATAATAAACAATACAGGTACAATATATTTTTACTCGTTTTAATATTTTATTTTTCAATATAATTTCTTAATTCCAGTAATAATCCGGCTGATCGACGAGGTATTTATATCGAATGCAACGGGAAGAAATGATAGGAAATAATCAACTTTATCAACTTTATTCTCCTGAAATAATAGGAGAATTTTTTTTATGAAAATACAAAATAATAACGAATAAGAAACGAATCAAACATTGCCTACCTAATAAAATTATTCGAATCTCACTTAATTGGACTTCTTGATTTGCCTTATCGTATCACGTTTGCACATTGGAGAAGATGGTACGACTGGACATTTGCCGATTCATATCAGTGACCACGGTCCAGTCCATAAATTCACGAGCCGGTGACCGATATTTACGAGCTTCTCAACTGGAAACATTCGTCATGCTTTACAAGCTGTCGTAAACGAGTCCTCTTATTATTCCATCCATAAGATTTTTCGAATCGTCTAGCGGGTTGAATCGTTTTGTGAAGCAATGCGATTCATGCGATACGTTGAATGGGGCATCGTGTTTCGGATGTGATTACGATTCAGTTGAAATTACATGCGAAGTAGTAGGGAGGGGATGGGGAAAAAGATACGGGATCAGTTTTGCACCGTTTAAAATGTTATTCGCGGGGGAAGGGAATGAAAACGATTGCGATGAGTCCATAATTGGCTTTGCGCAAACTATCGTGACTCGATGGTTTAATAACGGTTTTTCGAGATAGCAGAGCCGATCAGTTTAATTTGCAACGATAGCATATCAGTGGGTTGCGGTTAATAACCAGTCCAAGGTACAAATAGGTGTGTTCAATCAGCACCCCGCGTCGTTCCAAATTACTCCGCAATATTTTTGTTAAAATATCCATCCGCCGTTCGTTTCATCCATCGATGTACAACCTGCGATATAAATATAACCTGTACAACTGATCATTCAAAACGTACGGAGAATCACCGAATTGAATAATTTTATCGCTTTATTTATGCCATGCGAGAAACACGTTTTGTAAACATATTGAAACTTTTAATAAAGAAGAAGTAAATGAAAAATTTTGTCTTTAAAATCTTATCCCTTGCTTTTAAATTCCTCACCTGTGGAATCAGTTTAATTGGAAAGCGTCGTTTCTTGAGAATCATCGAATATACATAGTGATACGTGTATTAATATTTCTTTATAGGATTGAGAAACAAAGCGAGCCATATTTATTAAACTCAATAATTTTACCCGTTGTAGAATGGATTAGCGGTACATCGCTCCTTCTTCCAAGGAAACAAATTACCTCGCCTCACCAAGATTCCAGTTGAGAGCAGAGCATTCCTGGTTTCCCTTTGCACCTGCTTTTCTCAATTTCTCACGTCCATGCTGATAAACAGTCGTGCTTTGACGCGATTCGTTCGTAATTGCGTTAACAGTTGCGACCAAACCGCTTGGAAATTCAATGTTTCCCTTCGTGTTACGGGTTACCGTTTGATGGTAACTACTTAGATAGATCGACACGCTTCATAAAACTGCGACTTTTTTTTTTTTTCTTCTTCGAGGGGAGCTCGAATTATATATATAGAAGAGGATCATTGAAGAAGCGAGTTGGGAATTGATAAATGGCGGCGATCAATCGCGAGCAAATGCACAACTCAGCCGAAACAAATTTGCTCATTACTTATCATTTCTTCGCGATTACTCGCCCAGTAAGGATTATCCGTACATTGTTCTGTACGGGGATGGAAACAAATTAGCCGTTTCGGAGGAAGCTTGAAGAGGTTGCCGTGTTCCTTCGTGTCTAGAATACGGGAACGTTCGTTGCTCGAACCGTTCGTCAGGATTACTTTAGCTTCTCGAGTAGCGACGATAGACTGGTAGCGAGAGCAACGTCGAGGTTGCTACTCGTACCAC